GAGGATCTGACTTTGAATGTCGCCTCGTCCGCCGTAGTCCCCACCAAATCTGGTGCTGTTGCCAAGGGAAGCACTCGCGCCGATCGAGATCCGGCTACCGGCCTGTATGAGGTGACGGTGCGGTACCCGACCAAGGGCGGGCTTTTTAACGAGAAGGTGTCTGGCCACGACGTCTTGTTCCAGGCCATTCCCGATGCCGACAGGGAGTACCTGCGGCGGCAGAGCAAGGATGTGCGCCTCTTCGATGGCGGTTTGGACTACGTCGTCCAGGTAAGTCCCGGCTTTTGTACTTAGTAATTTTTGCATTCTTTTCCTCTTCTGACCATTATTTGTCTCTGCAGGGGGCTTTTATGCTGATGGAGCAGCAGCGCCGGCAGGTGGAGGAGCTTGCTCGCCTTCGGGAGGCTGAGAAGAAAGCCGCTGCTGCTGACGAGGCGCTTTCCCAGTTAGAGCGGCTCCGAACTGAGACCGACTCCCTGAAGGATAAGTCTGATGCGGCTGAAAGGAGAGCCGTTGTGGCTGAGGACGAGGCGAGGCGCCTCAAAGTTCAGCTGGATGAGGAAGCGGCTGCACGTCGGCTGGCAGAGGAAAGAGCCGTGAAGTTAGAGGCCGATGCGACAGCGGCTGCTGATAGAGCCATTGAACTGTTCATGGCTGAAGGTTGGAAGGACGATGCCCGCCGCGATTGGAGCTTTAACGTCGTGGCGGAGCGCTTCGAGGCGTGGTCTCAGGAGGAAGCTGGCCGAGCCCGCCTGAAAGAGGAGTTTGAAGTCTGGTACGACCTCGGCCAGAGGCGTATGCAGATGTTGGTTTACCGCCGCCTCCGCCGGCGTGTGAAGAACTTGAAGCCTAGGGGTATCGGCCTTCCGCGGATCATGAAAGACCCCGAGGAGGAGTTGAAGCTCCCCCTGTCCGAGAGGCAACCTCCCATTCTGAGCTCGAGCGAGGAGGACGGGCCCTGGACCGAGAGTGACGACTACCTCTTTCGGAGCTCGGTCAAGTCCAAGAATACCGAAGATGAACAGGACGATGCGGACAGTGGAGCCGTTGAAGGTGGCCAAGGCCAGGAAGCTTGAGATGTATCTGTGTTTCTTCCTCTTTTTCCTTCTTTTTGTCTCAGACGTAGCGTCTGATAGATTAGTATTGGCCGAAGCGCCCTGACTTTTGTAACGGCCGAAGCGCCCTCTTGTGTGTAATGGCCGAAGCGCCCCCTTTTTGAATCATTAATGATAACATTTTTGTTCCAAGTATGAATGTTGCTTCTCCTCACCCTTCTTCTGGTTCAGGAGCTCGTCGGCATCAGCATGCCTATCTCCGCGTCGGAGCGCCGCGAGGTATGACCGCGGCGGCTCCGTGAACAGGCTCCGGGCGAAGTGGCTCGGCCGGAGTGCTCCGCGGAGGAAGGCCAGGAGGGTGCGTTCATCAGCTCCTTCGCACTCGTCCGCCTCCCTCGTCCAGCGATCGAGGAACGTTCGGAGCGTCTCCTCCGATTGTTGCTTGATGGTCAGGAGATGAGCGAAATGCTTCTTCGCGCGCTTCCTCCCGGCAAAGTGGGTGAGGAAGCGTTGAGCAAGGTCCTGCCATGAGTCGATGCTCCCCTCCGGAAGGTTGTTGAACCAATCGTACGCTGGTCCCTCCAAGGTGGAGAGGAACCAGCGACACATGTACTCCTCCGAAGCGTTGGTCATCATCATATTGTTCTGATAACGGGTGAAGTGCTCCTGGGGATCAGTGCGGCCGTCATATGGCTTGATCGGGTTCCCCTTATACTTCTCCGGGATGGGAGCGGAGAGTACCCTCGCAGAGAAGGGGGTTCTGGTCCGTATCTGGATGACGGGCTCATCGCGCCGGTCAGCCAACTCCCTTTCCAGAGCACTGACCTTGCTCAGGAGCGCGTCGTAGTTGGGGGATGTGTGGGCCGATGCGCGCCCTGCGGCCTCTCGGGCCTCCATATCAGCGAGGTGCTTCTCCAGGCGGGCGATGATTTCGTCCCTTGGGTCCGTGTTGGCCGCAGCGCCACCCAGAGGGGTCTGGATCCGGGCCGCGTGGGCCAGGTTGATCTGGTGACGCGCGTCATCATCATTCAGCTTTCCTTTGCCTTTGTCTGGTCGGGGCCGATCCGTTGTTCGGGAAACGGACCCGAAGCTCTCCTTTGGCGACCCCGGCTCGCGGCCACCCAACCGACCCGCCACCCCTCCCGTAGGTACCCGACGGCTCGCGATGTCACCCAGCCTGTTGAAGGCTGAGATTTTACCGCGAGGTTGGGCCGGTGTATCCCGGGTAGGTGAGGCAGTGTGGGAATGGGTGTCCACGGCGAGGACGTCCTCGTTGTCACCGAAGAAGGTGACGCCTTGCGGACGAGGTGGCGGTGGTGGCACCGTAGCGACCTCTCCAGTTGCCGGAGTGTTGTTCTCCCCTGTCTTTGCGACGAGAGCGCTGACCACATTTGGGTCCTGGAGAATGCTCGCGACGATGGCCGATAGTGCGGCCGGGTTGATCTGGGGGGCAGCAGGGTGAGAAGCCTGCTGGCCCGAAGCGCGATCAGCATTACGCCTGTCCTCGAGCCCGATGCGGGCGTCTGGGGCAGTCTTGTTGAGCTGGACGCGAAGGTCAGCCGTCGCGTGCTCGATCTCCTGAGCGTTCTCACCCTGGTTGATGAGGTCATTGGGGACGTTGTCAGCAACGTTTCCCTGCCCTTCCTGGTTCAGAGGGGCATTCCTTCCGGTGTTCTTTGACCTAGTTCTTGTCATTCTGTTGCGTCTAGTAGCGACGAGGGGTACTCACTTGATCTGTTCTAAACTCTCAATGAAAGCACCAAATGATAGAGTATTAGTTCTAGAGAGAAGTGAGAGCTAGAGAGAGAAAGTGAGTAATTGTATTTCTCAATTTGGAACCCCCTATAATTAGCCCCTTGGGGTCTATTTATAGGTAAAAATGTGGATTTGGGCCCCTAGCCTTGGGCTTAGGAGGCCCATTACAATAATCATGCCTTCTTTGGGCGAATAAGGCCACTAATGGGCTGAGTACAACACTTAGTACAAAAAATAGGAAAATACATTCTGCCCGGACGAAGTCCGGACGAAGCGGTCCACGGACGATGCGGTCCATGGACGACGCGGTCCATGGACGATGCGGTCCGCGGACGATGCGGTCCATAGAAATCAGGCGATATCTTCTCTCTTGGACGCTACGTGCCTCTGGGCGATGCGGGTGTCCCGCTGGTGTCTTTTGGGCCGTTGAGTATGTGGGCCATGGGGTCCAGGCCCATATACTCTATCAATTTTATTACAGTATAGTTTATATTTCTAATCTAATACTACGTGTATGATTAAATTTAGTTTAGTATAATCTAACTTATTTAAGATTTCATATTACCTTCGTCTTCTTCAAAGTTTCTCGTGACAAAATAACGCGATTATTTAGACAATAACTACATATGCTAATTCGTGTATATTTTAAAAAATAGTTTTGATGAGTATATACTATAATTATTTACCGATGATATCTACTCCGTATGATATTATATTAGATTATATTATTTTTAATAATTAAAGATCAAATGGTTATTTTTTATTTTAAGAAATAATTTATACTCTTAAATATGAGTAACAATTTGATCTTCTTTTCTTTAACAAAAAGATCAAATTGTTATTTAAGAGTGTAAATTATTTCTTAAAATAAAAAATAAAAACTTAAATGGCTATAAAAGAAAAATGATGAGAACCTCTAAATTTAAATGTGACCAGCGTAAATCCATCGTACAGCCGGCTGTACCGTGTGCACGGTACAACCAGCCTTTTAGATTGCAAATCGCAGGGCTCTGGCTTCCATCTCAAATCGCAGGGCGCTAGTCTTCCTCCTCAGATCGTTCTCAATCTTCGCTCTCCGTTTGTTTTTCCTCTGGTGGTCTTCCTCTGCAGATCTTCCTCCGCTGGTCTTCCTCCGCAGATCTTCCTCCGCTGGTCTTCCTTAGCAAATCGTTCTCGTTCTGGCTTCCAACTTTGGCGACATATCAGAGAATTTATGCGCATAACAGAGAATATATGTAATTCTTCATATGTGAGCATAACAGATGAAGTTATGAGCACAATAGACATGTTAAATGAGTTTTTTGAATGCTCATTCCCTAATTTATGTATACTCATTTGAAAAAAAAATGAACACACACAAATGAGTTTTTTAATATTTTAATTTGATACTCATTTTGTAATTATGTATGCTCATTTGATATGTATACTCATTGGAACACACACAATAGACATTTATGTATACTCATTTGATGTTAGTGCAATACTCATTTTAAAATGTCATATTCATGCATGTTTGAAAATGAGTTTTATGTTAAACTCAAATGAGTATAACGCCCAAAAATAATGAACACACACAAATGAGTTTTTTAATATTTTGATACTCATTTTGTAATTATGTATGCTCATTTGATATTGTTTTATGCTCATTTTAAAAGATTGCACATGTTAATTCATTAGACACATATTGAAATTAAATGAAATTGATTATAGACATAATTTAAAACTTTAATAAACGAAAAAATAATAAACAGAATGTGATATACGAGGAATGAAGCAGATATCACTAATGCTCACCGTTAGGCTCCTAATACTAAAAAAACAGACTCGGTGCCCATCAAAATTGAGTAATTGACTCAATGCTCATTTAAGAGAATCCGTGAATTTCACAAAAATTACAAGTTTGACACGGACGGTTTAGCTGACACCATTGCGCGGGCTGTACTACATACTCCCTTCGTCCCAGAAAATTCTTCCTAGTTTGACTTGGATCGGAGTTTAAGAAAGTGGGAATAAAGTGGAAATGTGTGGTTGTAGTTGTGTAAGAAAAAGGTGAAATGAATGTGAGCTACACAAATACTACGTAATCAAAAAGGTGAAGTTGGAAGAATTTTCTGGGACGTCCCAAAAAAAAGGAAAGTTGGAAGAATTTTGTGGGACTGAGGGAGTATAAGCTTCCATGGGAATAGGGTCGCAACATCTTGAGGATCCAAGCCTAATCTAATCTTTGCTGCCAACCGTTATTTCAGTTTATTTAATTGGAACTTTGGATTCCAAATCACGTATTGATCCCCTGTCACGACGACGGGCTTAAAGAGTTTCGGATTCCTAATCAAACGGAAGCCACTCAACCATGGCGTCTGGCGTTTCTCAGCGCTACTGCTACAGCGATTTTTTGACGCATTCACTTCTCCATAGCTCACATAACTTCTCTTCCTCTGTTTTCACTCACCGGAATCTACGAAACCGTAAAATTTCAGTTCGCTTTAGGACTACCGCCAAATCACCTCTGAACAAAATCACGGGGGTTAAGCCGGATAAATCAGCTCACGATTCCGAATCTAGACCCGAATCTTTATCGAGTTCGGATTCCGGAGTCAACAATCCGGATCCGGATCCGGATCCTCCATTACGGCTGTCTCTCTGGAATTCGGCCTCTCCCATATTGTACCATTTTCTACATACTTCATTAATCTATTACCGGCTTATTTCTGGCTTCGTGTTATGCTATTATTTAAACTTTAAACTTTCTTGTTTACTTTTCAGAGAGGGATTTAAAGTTGATGGACTGGTTAGGGAGATTTTATCAGTTGCATTGCCTGCTGCACTGGCTCTGGCTTCTGACCCCATTGCTTCGCTTATTGATACTGCATTCGTTGGCCACTTGGGTACTCCCGTTTGCTAAAGATATCGACTTCAAAATATTTTGTTCCACTTATGAATATATACTGCATGCTTTGACTGTCTAGCTATTTTGTTCCAATGATGTAAATGTGTTCTTGATATCTTGAATGAAGCTATGGTCAGTTGATAGAATTTAGGTTTTTTATTGGGTCATCAAGTTGGTCAACTATACCGTGATAAAATATACTTCCTCCGTTCTTCAAAAGTTACAACAATGAGATTTTTTCACTATTCACATATCTTACTTTGGTTACGATTTTCTAATACGAGTAATATATAATCAAATTATTTTGTATGAAATGTTATTAAATTTCTATTAATGTAAATTTCCAAAATATTAAATTTTTAAATCTTTACTAATACATAATTAAATATAATTACATTCAAAGTTTTGTGTTGAAAGATGTGAAAGTCAAATTGTTGCAACTTTTAAAGAATGGAGGATAGTACGTACTTGTAGTATAATTTGTTTGGGTTCACCAAAGTGGGTCTTAAAGCACTTTGGTCAAACCAGACTAAGAAATTGTAGCCAATCGATTAGATAGTTAGTATTAAGCTGGTTTAACCCACAGTCATATAAACTTATCTGTTTTTCTTTAATAATCAAATTGATTTCGGACTTAAACATAAGTCAGAATTTAATCATTTTTTTTTGCATTATTACAAGCTATGGACACATAATTTCCATCAATTTTATGCTCTGCAATTTCGTAGGATCGATTGAATTGGCAGCGGTTGGGGTTTCAGCATCAGTGTTCAACCTTGTATCAAAGTTATTCAACATTCCTCTCCTGAATGTTACAACTTCTTTTGTAGCCGAAGAGCAGGCGTTACTGAAAACTGGTAATTCTTTTAACTACCCATAATATATAAATATGTATTTCATATTTGCTGATGCTGTATTCTTACATTTGGAATGACATTGAAATCAACTCCTGTTGCTCGGCTATGTTTGTTTGGGTAGATGGTGGTGCCAGTCAACATGGAAAAATTATTCTTCCTTCAATATCAACTTCCTTAGCACTTGCTGCGGGCCTTGGCCTTGCAGAAGCTATTGCGGTTTCTGTTGGCTCCAGTTTTCTGATGGATACAATGGGTATAACTGCTGTATGTGTTACTTTTTTCTAACATGCTTTCTCAAGTCCTCAATCTTTATTGCCAATACTAAAAAGCTAACAAATTTTCTCATGTTTACTGGCACACTTATTAGCGTTTTTAATCAGATAATAATATGTAAATTAAGAGTCGTGTGGTTTTTCATTTCCCTTTTGGTGTGGGATGGGTGTGAGCTTATGGTCCACCAGAACGGAAATATATATGGAGTCATAAGCTTCAAATAAGATGTTCGTCGAATGTCGTAGAGTTTTATTTATGAAGTTTCTTGACTTAGCTCATTCATATTTTGTGACTTGCAATTTTACAGGATTCGCCAATGCGCACACCTGCTGAGCAATTTCTTACCATGAGGGCATTTGGTGCTCCAGCAGTTGTAATAGCACTTGCCACTCAGGGAACCTTCCGTGGGTTCAAGGACACAAAGACTCCTCTATATGCAGTTGGCAAGTATATCTAATCCCTGATTATTTCCATAAAAAACATTACAACTCTTGTGAACGTGGGACCATCTTAGGGATGAAAACCTCAAGGTTATGTTTGCAACACGGAAAATAGTAGAAAAAGGGAAAAAAGTGTGAGGGTTAAGAGTTTTTATGTTTAATGTTTACTTGGAAAGTACGAAGGAAAACCATTTGAGGTATTTGATCGCAATATATTTATAAATTTACATATATTTATATTCAGTCTTTATAAAGTAGTAATATGTAAATATTATATGTTTGAAGAGAACATTTAAATTTTGAGTTGTTGAGTTTGAACCAATTTTTTACTTTCCCCAATTTCTATTTCCTTCCAAAAATTTCCCTTCTTGTTTGATCCCTTTTTTCTCGCCCTAGCATTTTTGGGTATCCAAATATACCCCAAGTAAATGAAAAAGCTGCTGACCCCAAACTCTTTTGGGACTAAGGATTAAATGTTGTTGTAAATGAAAAAGCTCAAGCATTATACTATGTCATTTGGTCACACAAGTCTTTTCGACGATACAGGTACCGGTAACTTGCTGAATGCAATATTGGATCCAATTTTGATATTTTTCTGTGGTTTTGGCATAAGTGGTGCTGCAATTGCTACTGTGATATCTGAGTATGTCTACAATGTGGTAAAAACTGTTCCGTAATTACTTTGGATATACGTTTTACAGATCTTTCAGCAGGTAACCTCCTTTTGCCTTACCTTTTTCCTATGCATTATGTTTATCAGGTACTTGATTGCTTCCATCCTGCTATTCAAGTTAAATGAACGAGTCAGTCTTATTGTTCCAGATATTGATGGGGGAAGAGTTGTTCGATATTTGAAATCTGGTAACATTTAAGAAATGCAAAGTATGTTATAATAATCTAGATTAGAATAACATGCTTGAATGGCCGTTCCGGATCATACATTGATTTATCGCTAACCTGATGCTACTCAGTTTGTTCAAGATGGGTTATGCTGTTTGAAAAAATGCATACACAAACTGCAAACTCATTCTTATTATTAACATCATAGTCCCAACTATGTTGGGGTCGGTTGTATGAGATTTATATTCAACTACTTTTCTAATATTAATTAACATAAATTCACAAAGAAAGATATATACTTCAGTACCTAAGTACTGACTTAAATCCAAATTGCTGAGTTTAATGACTCTGAATTTTATTGGGACATCCAAAATACTAAAACACATGTATCTACATGGACTATTGTCTCTTTAGAAGCAATGATTTTTATAAGTCGTGCCTTTTTTCTTTCTCTTCTTCCCTCGAACATACATTCTGCCTTATGCTAACCATGCTCATATCACGTGGCAGGTGCTCTACTTACTGCGAGAACATTAGCAGTTTTTGCAACCACTACACTAGCAACATCACTGGCTGCTAGAGAGGGTCCAGTATCTATGGCTGGTCATCAGATTTGTTTCCAAGTTTGGTTGGCATTGTCTATGCTTACTGATGCTTTAGCTCTGGCAGGCCAAGTAAATATATGAGCCTCCTACTTACTAAAGCATTCCCACAATCACCGGAAGTTCCATATGTTAAAAATCCAAACATGATTTTTCACCTTACTCTTATTTTTTCTTTGTAAGGCTTTCCTTGCCAGTGATTATTCTCAAGGTAACTATAGCAGAGCACGTGAAGTGGTCTACAAAGTCTTGCAGGTTGGCAGCTTTCCTAGTCTACTGCCATTTTCCTATCCATTAGAAGAAATAGTTAGCGGTGTGCAACTTTCTAAATATTATTTATTTTGTTAGATTGGTATGGTAACCGGAGTGGGCTTAGGTGTGAGCTTGCTCCTGTGGTTTGGAACATTGTCCAGCTTATTCAGCTCAGACGACGATGTCTTACAAATCGCCAAATATGGTACTTTGGTAAGGATGAACTTTTTTTAGGACAATATGGGTGGGATTAATAGATAAATGAGTTGTACATTAGTATATACTAATTTGTCATTTTTTATCTTTTATTTTACAAATTTCAAGTTGAGGCGGTATATTCTTAAAATGACAATTAAAGCAGTTCTTTTATTTTTCTGACAAATTGCCTAGTTTGTTGCAGGATCTCAACCAGTGAATGCTATTTCTTTTTTATGACTATATTACGGGGGGGTTAAAATTAAGAGAATCATATCTGGTTTAAGTTATAGATTGAGTATTTACTAATTTATCATTTGTTTTGAAAATTTATAGATGACACAATATATTCTTACAATAAAAATTAACACGTTTTTTTTTTTTAAAATTTTGCCTAGTTTGTTGCTGGATCTCAACCAGTGAATGCTATTGCTTTTGTTTTTGATGGACTATATTACGGGGTCTCTGACTTCGAATTTGCTGCTTACTCAACGGTATAGCATTGCTCTTTATTCTAACTGGCATTTGTTGCTCTTGTTTGTTATCTAATACTATTCTTTACTTGTGGTGACCAGTTAGTGATTGGATTGATCTCCTCCTCTTTCTTATTGGTGGCTGTTCCTTTCTTTGGTCTTGCTGGAGTTTGGGCAGGGTTGTTTCTCCTCATGGCTTTGCGTGTGGTAGCAGGATGCCTAAGGTCCACTGATTCTCTTTTTAACTGTCTCAAGAACCATGATTTCTATTTCAAATACTTCCTTATTCATTTTTTCTCAAAATATGACATTCCATTCTATTGCCTTATTGCTTACTTAAGTTCTTTAAATCAGCTGATTCTGGTAAACTAATAGTCTGTTACATGATCTCTTGTGAAAAAAACTTAATACGGACCACATTTAAATGTTTAGTCTGGTCTGATCTGAGTTTTCTGATTTGGTCTAATCCGTTTTAGTCGGAATGTTTCTGGTTTTTTTTCTAACTACAAAGAGAATTAGTAATACCTAGTAAAAAAACAAGAGTAGTGAATACAACACCACCTAAGGCTTGGCCTTCACTTTTGTGACAACAGACCATGTAAATTTACTCTCTTCGAGTTTGTTTGTACTTCGTATTAAATACAGGGTGTCCTAACCATAAGCTTTAGAGCCATGTTTAAGCTTAACGAGAGAATATTATTTTTTCGTAATTTTCATAAGTTAACTAGATTATCAAAGAATATTCTTCATCTTTACTATAACAGCTATTAATTCTTCAGAACACCTCAATCATTATTTAAAAAGTGAATACTTCTTGAATTCTTTGTAGAATATTCTATCAGTCATTAATTTTAGCATAGCCTTATATGCCTAAGGGCAAGGATTGGATTTACCTTAAATAAATTAATATTCGTACTTCTGATCAGTGTTCATCATTTATACAGACTAGGAACAAGAACTGGACCCTGGAAATTGCTATGGCCTGAAATCCAGAAGGACACTGCTGATGTAGCGGATGGGTTGTCAGTGCAAAAAAAAAAACCAGAACATGAATAGTCCTTAGTATATATATGTATGCACACATATGTAAGTACGTATATATGTCCTAATAAGTAATAATATGACTTGGTTTGCAATTTTGGATTCCTTAATGAAAACTGTGTCTCAGAAAATTCATCCATCAGCATCTCATTTATGCAGATAGAAAATGCAAAGATCTCAGGTATAACCTACGCGCTACAAACTTAACCAGCATTGGGTCGAGCTAAAATTGAACCTGCTAATTTTACATGTCTTTTTAGATATTAGTAATGCCTGTGTAGAGAATTGAAAATAAAAGCATTTCCACAAAGAAAGCTTCCAACTTGTTTATCCAGTAGCTGTGTGATATAATAATGTTCATTTTAGTGATGCACAAAGTCTTCATGACTACGGGCTAAGATGTGATAGAGAGGGAATATTTTTCTGTAATAAATCAGGTAATTTATCATGCCCCCAAACCCCCAACAATTTTTCTTCTGGGCTCGATATGATTGTATTTAGTTTTACTTTGTAATAAAGCAAGCAAAATGAATGTTGCGACAACACATCAAAACATAAGTAATCAACAATGTCTTTATCTACTTTTCCCCCCTCTTAACTAGCACACAATAATCTCAAGAAATCATTGTAGAGTAGTGTATTGGATCTAATCTACCTACTGCGCTCCAGCAAATAAAGTCAGTCTCCATCCTGTTTCGCTTTTGAATCATCATCTCTATCAAACAGCTCAAGGTTTGGAGCCATACTAAAACTCTCTTGCAAGAGGTTCCTAAAAAAATCATTCTCATCATGATTCTCCATGAAGAATAAGGTTTCTGTTAAGTTTATGTGTTCATCTGTAGAATGACTGTCTTCTTCCAGCAAAAGGCTCTGCAAATAGTCAAGTTGGGTTTGCAACTCCGGTTTCGGCTCAGCTGAATCTCTATTCTCATATTGGCTAACCCAGGAGTGGTCTGAACAGTTCAAATCCAGCATTTTTTCATCTTCAAACTCTTTTATAGAATCTATCATTTGGGGAACAAAAAACCTTGATTCATTGTCTTCAATCGTGCAAATTGAGGAAGAACCAGAATCATGTCTTGTCAAAACATATGACTCCTCTGCACTGAATGGTTCTGACCCCTCATCAACTGAACAAACTGCGGAACCAGAATCATATCTGTCCTGTACTCCTACACCATCTGGGAAGTTGAGTATCGCATCCGGATTCCGGGCCATACATTACCCTGGCAGCCATATCATAAGCAAGAGCACCTTCAATAGCTGTGTCAAAGGTACCTAACCAATAGCGCCGTGCTTTGCCTCCACATTTATCAGCGACACCACAAGAAGACGGCTCCCGGATTTCTGCAACCCACTTTCCCCAAGTCCTCTGCCTGACACCCCTGAACTGGAAATTCGAATTATCTGGTCCGCCTCTACCATGAATGCAGTCCATGCTCGGTGATCCCTGAGAAGGAGAAGGAGAAGCAGCAGCAGCCTTCCTCTTCTTCCTAGCCACTACCACACCAGTGGCAGCCTGGTTGGTGTTATTTACAGCTTTCCATCTCATTAACATCTCCTCTAGTGGTTCATACCTGCTGCGTCTTTTCCTCATCTTACCTGCAAGGCTGCAAATTTTCAACTGTAAGATTCTATGGATCTTCTTATTCAGCTATTAGAGGGTGCCCTCTATCTCCTTGAAAGATTCGTTATAGTTGCTGTGGCAAGCCTTGTGGTGAACTCCTCGCCGCTGCGTAAGCTTAGGAAGTTGCTGCAATGTTTTCTGTTATCAAAGATTCAAAGAATTGGCTTTTTATACTAAGTAAATGAATAATAATGGTACTTGGTGATCACGGATGAGGTTGAGTTCCTGGCTGCATATGGAGAAGGCGTATTGGCGTCCCATTTAAGTAATAACTCTAAGAACGAGCTTCGATGGGATATTACTACTTAATATACGGAGTATGGTACAAGAATTGTAAACCTTGGGCGCCAAGGAAACGACTTACCCCCCAGCCCCCCCCCCAAAAAAAAAAAAATAAAAATAAAAAATATATAACATAATGCCCCAAATTTAGAGGATATATTTTAACTTGTACTGCTTCCCTCCAACAACTTAAATTTGTCTTTTTAGTACATCTATAACATCACAATTTTCATAAATGATCTCATTATATTATACTATGTATATCAATCAAAAGCACTTCTCAAAATATTCGTAGCTTTATTTATATATTGCTTAAATAGTCGTGTAAATTTTCAATTAGAAGCTTAAGGTGTGATGAATGTGCTATATTAGGACTCTTAATATGCAGAGGTTGAAAAATTCAATTTACCCGTAATATTTCTGTATACGAATTTCTAATCAATATTTAAAACGACACGAACAATTCTCATAGACGATAATTTCGATAATTGTTCATCTCCAATTTAATTTTTAAAGCGAGTCTCCATCTCTGGTTGTACTTTCCGGATCTTAGAAGAATTGAATGGGGGTTTTTACTTGGATATTACTAATTTTGAACTAATTACCCAAAAAGTGACAACTTTTAAAAAGGGGCAAAAAAGTGATCAAAAAGGTCATATATGTGCAATTACAAAACATGATGTAACTACAAAAATTTTATGTCACTGTGTTGGTTTTTTTTGTAACTACAGCCACCACCCATGTCACTGCAACCACCACCAGTGTCACTGCAACCACCGTCCTTTCACTGTAGACACCGCCCATGTCACTTTAGTCACCGTCCATGTCACTTTAGCCATAACCCATATCACTTTAGCCACCGCTCATGTCACTTTAGCCACCGCACATGTCACTTTAGCCACCACCCGTGTCACTTTAACCACAACTCGTGTCACTATAGTCCCCTCCCCTACACCCCCTGCCCCCTCCCCTCCACCGCCGACACCATGGTTGATCCGTCCCACATACACACCCAGAAAACACCACCTTTGACAGCTGCCACCCTAATTTTAACCACACCGGGACCGGACCCTATCCAGCCCACCTCCCTGCCCCCCACTGCCTCCTCCCCAACAAAGCAGCCCCCTCCCAGCCCCTCCCCTGCCAACCAGCCCCCTCCCCAACCCATTCCCAGCCAACCAGCTCCTCCCCTGCCAACCAGCCCCCTCCCCAACCCCTGCCCAGCCAACCAGCGCCCCTCTCAGACCCTCCCCTGCCAACCAGCCCCCTCCCAGCCCCTCCCCTCCACCGCCGACACCATCGTTCATCCGTCCCACATACACACCCGGAAAACATCACCTTTGATAGCTGCCGCCCTAATTGTAACCACACCGGGACCGGACACTCCCCAGGCCACCTCCCTGCCCCCACCGCCTCCTCCCCAGCAAACCAGCCCCCCTCCCAGCCCCTCCCCCGCCAACCAGCCCCCTCCTCAACCCTTTCCCAGCCAACCAGCCACTCCCCTGCCAACCAGCCCCCTCCCCAACCCCTCCCCTGCCAACCAGCCCCCTCCCCAACCCCTTCCCGGCCAACCAGCCCCCCTCTCAGCCCCTCCCCTGCCAACCAGCCCCCCTCCAAGCCCCTCCCATGCCAACCAGCCCCCAACCGCCATCCCACAACCTCCGCCAGTAACCTAGCCACAACTTGCCACAAACTCCGCCAATTTAGATTTTGAACGTCCCGTCCTAGACCTGAAATTTTAACTGATACAAATGGCGATAAAGCCCCCAAAATCGAAGAGATTGAAAAGAAATAGAAGCAGCAGGGGCCATGGCGATGACGACGATGACTGCGGCGTTCAAGGACGGTGGAAACCAGATGCGACGGACTAGAGAGGGTGACGATTCGGACTGACAATCTGGAGGTGGAGCTGTCATCTTCGCCGCATCTTTGTCGAAGGATGTTGTTTGGAGCCGTGGAGATAACCGATCTGGAGGGGGAGCTATCATAACCGGATTTTGAGAGAGAGGTTTGGGCGACGAGGATACGGATGGAGACGATGATGGATGAGCTATGGCGCAGGGGAGACGGATGGCGTAGATCTGGATCGGGAAAGAAGATGTGGTCACTTTTTTGTAAAGTCTAAAAGAAGTCATATTTTTGCCTATTAAAACCTTATAGGTTATATTTGGGCCATTCTTTCAATTGAATGTGATGAAGTAGATAAAATGAAAGATGACACAAAGTAATGTGAATGATGAAGATGAAATGTAGTGAAGATGGAAAGTGATGAACATGGTTTGAAATATATTTAAAAGAACATGACTTTTAAGTGATGAACATGGTTTGAAATATATTCAAAAGAACATGACTTTATTTAATTTTACTATATTTTTTCTTCATTTTATGCATAAAATATTTGAAATATTATTTTTTAGAATTCATCAGATTTTGCTAATTTAGGCGCATCAACTAGGTTTTTACAAATTTGAACATATTTAGTTCTATCGGTGTCACCAAAAAGACTATCATTTTGTGTACAAATCTGTTTTTCAATTCGAATAGTTTTTGAATACAAGTACAAAATCTATTTTTCAATTCGAATAGTTTTTTAATACAAGTACAGAAACTATTATATTCGATTCAAACAATATTCGAATTCTATAGAAATATGAATACACACATAGGGGCGAGGAGGATCAGGTACAAACGTTTGTAAACTCTTTCTCTTGCATATTATGATTCAAAGTGTCGCATATTATTGTTATGAAATATGGGTTGCATATTAATATTCAAAAAGTTACATCCAATTTTTTTTTATTACAAAAATATCTTGTGCCTATGTAACCTTTATTATTTAAACCATAAATGAAGCAAATATGAGTGAAATATAAAATTAAATGCAATTGACAAATGAATGAGACTACAAATATTCAGTAACACAAACGAATTCAAATAAGGTTGTTTTCGGATGGAATTGGTGAAAAACAGCCAGATCTACTGTTAACTGTTTCTCGAATGAATGAGCGCAGGGAAGCCAGAACTATACGCCGGCGGGTCGGATCCGCAGCCCGGACAGAGCAATCACCATGCACCCTCTTTCCAAGAAGCTGAAACAACCATCTTCACATTTCTCATTCATCTCTCCTTCTTCCCTATTTCTCTGTCTACTCTGCGTTGCCGCTCTCTTCTTTACCTTTTTGCTGTTAAAGTCCTCTCCGTCCTCACCTCCAAATGACAGTCGCATTAACCGGGAACCGTTGTTCTCACCTACTTGCAATGTTTCGCATGGCCGGTGGATCTATGACCCGACAGTCAAGTCTGCTCGCTATGATGATACCTGCAAGGAGATATACAAGGGATGGAACTGCATTGGGAGGAACAAAAACAATGCGCACGATATCTTTAAGTGGCGGTGGAAACCCTACGAGTGCAATCTCCCTCAGTTCAATGCTCTCCAATTCCTCGACCGTTTCAGAAACACCAATATTGGTACTTTTCTCTGTTCCGACCTTCAAATGCATGCCTTATTTTGATGCAAATTGTGGTTTTAGCTATTGACTTTGTACAGTTGTTTTTACTCTATGGTGAT